CCTTCCCCCCATCCCTTTCCCAATTTTCACTAATAAAAACCTTGCCCCCCTCTTTCGTTCTATTCTCAATCCAAAGCGACAGCTGCACAATGCTCTGATCACGTACCATCGATTTGAAATGCTTTGTTGGACTCTTGGTATCAAAGGATGAGGCTTCTTACCTACAGAAATTTGGCCTCTTTTTTAGGATAAATGATAAAGAATAGCAAACTGAAAGGTATCAGATAAACATCTTTGCGGCTTAGTTTCTTTGGAACGAAGTCCTCACTCAGTGGGGTAAAGACCCGCGGACGGCGCCTGCCACGCTTGGGTAGGCAGCGTGAGCGCCCGACGTGTGGATGGGTTGCCTACCCACCAGGATGCCGGCGCTAAGTGTCTTCTCACCTTTTCCGCCAGTCTCTCTCTCTCTCTCTCTCTCTCTCTCTCTCTCTCTCTCTCTCCCTCTCTTTCTCCCTCTCCCTTCACCCACCATCACCCCTCTCTCCTCTGCCTCTCTCACCCTCTGCTCAAAGCGGGCCGCCCCTGTCAGTTGCGCAGCGGCAGCCCGGGGGCCACTTGACAAATACAATGGCTAAGCGAGTCGAGTTAGAGGAGGAGGAGGGTTGGTGGGGGGAGGGGGGGGGTCCCGCGGAGACTTGTTCAATATTACCGTTTTGTGCGGCATGTCGAGCTGCGGATGAGCGCCTGGCATTTGAACTCATGAGAGGCGAGAGAGAAGAGTTAACTGTGGTGGAAGCGACAGTTTTTGTATGACAGCGCAGCAACAACGATGTTCTACTCACATATCTCTGCTGATGCGGCCAGGAAAATTGCGCCTCTCCTGCTGAAAGAAAAAGAAAGGTGTCGCTCAAAATATTGTAAATGTTGTCCTGCACATGAAAGACCAATTTTAAACGGGAACGTTTTAGTGCACATTCATAGACCCGATGTCGAGCCCGGATGTACATTTGTTCCTAAAACTGGAAAAAAATGTGAAAAATTTACACATTTTCTCCAGTTTTTAGAGCAAATTTACATCCGATATGAATGTGCACAGAAACGTCTCCGTCTATTGGAACAAAATTGATCCTTTACATTTATTGTGTGTGTACATGTTTACACGTTCCTTGCGGCATGACTCCTATTTGGTCGCCATTTTAAATCATAGAGACGAAAAGTGAGCCGCACGGAATGTATTAATTATAGGGCAATGGTTCGGAACATGTTTTCAAAACTTACATCTGCACCTGCATCGACTGCCACTCTCTCCTTTGCGGCTCTATAAAAGCGATTGAAACCACGCACCCCTCTTTCATGAGGAGCTTCTGGATAGCGGTGTGGGTGTGACCCCTCATAACCGGGGATCATGTCACCGCTTCAGCCGCTTCAGCTCCCGAGCAAATAGTCGCAAATCCGTGTCGGCCCAGAGGAACTATGTGGGAAATAAAGTCAATGCTCGGCTCATATAGCACGTCGTGTAACGCAGCTCATTTATCATGGAAAATATTCAAAACAGTTTTGTGTGACACTATTTCATTGTATTTTTTAAATATCTCATGCACGTTTGCTGCCATAAGCAGCGCAATGAGAAGCTGACGTCGGTGTTATTGAATAGGGAGAGGTACTTTTAGATGCTTTTGAGAGAAAGAGGGAGAGAGGGGGAGAGAGAGAGAGAGAGAGAGAGAGAGCACG